CATATCTTCAACACACATTGTCGATGCCAAAAATGTAAAAATTATGTTTTCAGTGGACTTTCTAAATTTGCTTTGCTTGAGAGAGCATGGAAATATAGAGTTACAATGTTTTTTTCATTTGATTTAGTCAAGTTAGTTTTGCACCAAACACAATATGATTTTCGGCAATCGAGATTTGGCAGCAAAAGCGTGTTTTTCCACTTGGGCGTTTCCAAAGCTGCCGTCAATTCGCTCGCCCGGAATCTTCCGTAACCAGACAGATTTACAGAAAATTACTGTTGTTTGGCAAATAAATAATTTTGCACATTTATTTCCAACTTTGTATTATGTAAGCTTTAATTTACATCTCAAATAACAAGGGATTCATTTATAATCATGTTTATATTAATTAGCCAGCCTCTGAAATGGCTTGGGTATGCAGAGCATTCACATCTTATATGGATGGAACTGCCCCTGTTGTATTCCAATATCATTATGCCTCAATTAGCCAGTTATAGATTAAGAGTTGTTGTTAGGTGAACAGATGGCTTGCTGCTGTATTTTTAATAATTTATGTTGTTAAAATAACATTCTGTTATGCAAATGCATTGTCTGCTGGTTTATTTAGCTATTTTTCAGTACACCGCATTAAGTTTGCCACTTAATACTATAAGACTGAATGTCAAAGTGCAAGTTCTTGAAGTGTCTTGGAGTCGTTGCCACAGTTCTTCTGGATTTAGTCTGTCTCAGTTTTTTCTGATTCTTCATGTAATCCCAGACGGACTGGATGATGGTGAGATCAGATCTCTGTGTGAAGCGCTGGCTGTTGTCAGACTCCTAAACATACAAAAATCTCACTGGATTATTACAATAGAAATGTTAACTGAGATTTCATACTGACACACTGTGTGTGTGTGTGTTTGTCTGTGTATATATATATTAGGGCTGTCAAAATTAACGCAAACTCATTTTAACAGCGCTAATTTTATTACAGTTCTGTCAGGACCACTATCGTCAAAATGATAGATACTT